TGCAATTTATTTGAGTAGGGAGTAAGAATGCGTAACTGACTGAATAAAACCATAAAACCATGCATTTCCTGTAGATCCTCTTAAAAGCCACGCCCAGACTTTGCGTTCACGCTTGACGCGGTGATTTCCGCCACGTTTCGTCGTGACCAATGGCTTTCTCGCGCAAATTTCACTAGATATGCCAATAAAGTTTATACTTGAAAAATGTAAGTTTTCGAGTTTTTTGAGACTGGGTCTAGAAACAAATCGCAAGATAGCCATTTGACTCATTCAGACCTTCTGAATCAGAGCAGCAAACCAATCGACAGTAATTCTATTCTCAAATGATCTCAGATGGATGAATAACAAAACGTTTTCCGATGTATTTATCGGGTACTTCAAATAGAAAACTGAAATTCGGATTCTAGAAATCAAATGTTGAGTGCAGAAAGTGGAGATGTCAATTATTGATGGCAAACTAATGTAACTCCTTTATCAACGATCATCATTTCGCGACAATATTGTGACAATTTAATAATTACTGGTAAGGGAGAAATGGACATCAAAAGCTTAGAATAATACAGAATTCAACCCATTCGGAAACCGCAGCGGTTTCTTTTGGTCTTCCGGCTTTCTTTTGACATGGTTCGGCGAAGCGGTCCGTTCCCGCAGTTTTTTTGCTGACGCTTTATTTTATATTATTTCTGATAATTTCTATATATAATTCAGCTTATTCTTCTTTATAGCTTCTTTATGGATGACGAATTGAACGATTCTTTTAATAATTTATTTATTGACAGTGATTTGGAGTCTATTGATGGATCAGATGATCGACTAATCAACCAGAAGTAATAACATCAAGTTGAAGCGAATGCGAGGAAGAGGATGACGATGCGTCCAAAGCAGTTTATCCAGATGGTTTGGAAGATTTACGAGGGCCTCCCTAAGCACCATTTATTATTGATGAAGAACGACATTTGGATTTGACTTCAGTAATTTCAAGATCCAATCGATTATTATTCTTATTTTATCGACGACAACACTAATTAATATGTTGTTAGGCGAAATCTAATAAACATGGAAAACGGAAAATAAACTGGCAGGGGGATTTCGATGCAAAATCTTTCAAGCTCTTCTTGGTTCTGTATCTTCAAATGGGAATCTGTCAAATTAAGCTGAGGATTCCGTGACTGCTGGAGTATTAGGAGGATTTCCCACATGTTCACATTATGCTTAAGAGCGAGGTTTGAATCTACTTCGAAACCTGCATTTTTGTGATAATTAACTGGATCCCCGCACGAGATCGGTTTTATAAGATTAGAGCGTATGGAATATTTCAATTGCAAAATCAGAGGTCATTGATTCCGGTAAATATGACACGTCTTTCACAACGTAATTTGTAGATCTGTTAGCACTTGGAATATACATGTAATGCTGAAAAACAGCAAAAAAATCAATTAATTGAATGAAAATAGCTGAATTGTGCCGGCAGCGAATAACGCTGCAGCGGTCTGTTCCTGAGTTTTTGCTGCAGCAATTATTCGCGGCAGACGTTTCGAATGGGTTAAGCCAAAAAAGTGGAATATCTGGGTTTCGATGACAAAATTCACTTTTAGCTCCAGCATCGACTTCTTGCTTGGTTTATGGTTTCATGGCTAAAGAAGGCAAAGCTCGAGTGTTTTACTCGGAGGTTGGCATTTAGATTTTATCTAGACTGAGGCCGACTAATGCGTTTTCTAAAACTTGTCAACAAAATACCGTAAGCTTAACCTTTTGTGTTGAAATGTTTGTTTTATGAGGGCATAAAACTTTGGTGAATTGAATTGGTTGGTGAATTGAAAACTGCGGGACTTTGAACTAAAATTTTACTTTTATTACTCATCCGGCATAAATAGTAATCAAAAGGGACGAGGTCCGACTGTATGCGGGATGCGCCAAAAGTTCCCAAACAAGGCTAATTATTTGAGAGCGTGCCGTTTTGCAACATGAGGGCGCGCGTTGTCGTGGATGAGAACGATCTTTGACTTGGAGGGCCTATTCTTCTTCAGGGATTCATTCACCTTCCCAACTGTTCATTGTATTTGATTGCATTAACGGTCGTCTTGCTAGCCAGCAACTCCCAGTACACCACTCCTTCCATATCCTAGAAAACGCAGAGCATAAACTTCTTCTGGTCCAAACGGGCTTAGGGTCACTTTCGGGTTTCCGCCTGGCCCAACCCATTGCCACTTCCTCTGAAAGTTCACAGATAAAACTCCATTTCTCATCTCCTATCACAACTGAAAAAGAAACGATTCCTTTGTATTGTGAGTGATGGAAGGTACTGATCGAGGCGCGTGCCACTTCTGGGGGTTACGAGGTGACGCTACCCAAGCCCCAAGTTTTGATTTAAATCTAAGGGTATGAAGGTGCAGGGAGCACTATAGTATGATCAACACTCTTCTCCCAATTCACGCGATGATCGGGTGATGGTCGCTGGTAATGAGTTCGAGTAATTTGGAAACATCCAGTTGCGGTGCTGCCCACGGCCCCTGCATCTTTCAAAGTTTTGCCCCCAGAACAAATCCTCGTTTTAAAGAAGCATTCCAGATCACATCCGGTGCTTGACTCGTGGCTCGTGACTTGCCTCGTGGCTCGTGACTCGCCTCGTGGCTCGTGACTTGTCTCGGGGCTCGTGACTCCGCCCTCGGGGCTCGTGACTCCGCCCGTGGCTCGTGACTCGCCTCGTGGCTCGTGACTCCGGCCCGTGGCTCGTGACTCGTCTCGTGGCCGTGACTCGCCTCGTGGCTCGTGACTCGCCTCGGGGCCCGTGACTCCGCCTCAGGAGCCCGTGACTCCGCCCGTGGGCTCGTGACTCCGCCTGTGGCTCGTGACTCGGCCTCGTGGCTCGTGACTCGGCCTCGGGGCTCGTGACTCGCCCTGTGGCTCAGGCTCGTGGCCCGCCTCGTGGCCCGGGGCCTGGGGCTCGCCCCGTGGCTCGTGGTCGTGGCTCGCCCCCGTGGCTCGTGGCTCGTGGCTCGCCCCGTGGCTCGTGGCTCGTGGCTCGTGGCCTGTGGCTCGCCTCGTGGCTCGGGAGCTCGTGACTAGCCTCGTGGCTCGTGACTGCCTCGTGGGGCTCGTGACTCGCCTCGTGGCTCGTGACTTGCCTCGTGGCTCCATGTCTATTGTGCAAAAGAAACGCATAAAACTTATTAAAGAACAACAAAAAATAGTAGAAGAGTGTTATTTCAACTTAAAATGATTCAAAACTACAAACAACAAAAACTTAAATGCTCAATTTAAGTAGATTTAGATTTTGTCAATACTACTTTTTCAATTCCCCTCCGAGTCCGCAATACTATTAGAGAGTGGAATGCTATACGGTAGATTAATAACTCAGATAAGATTACGGTAATTTTTGAAAGTTAGCAAGTTTTGAAAGCGCTGTAACCAGTAAAGCATTATTCACATATCATCAAAATTTAGCCCTTCGCTAAATCGAGCGGCAATCTGGTGCCAGATTTTCGACCAAGTGGAATTCCATTTACCGCATTGGATACCCTTAAGGTTTGAGGACAGATTGGGCTTGATCTATGATATATGAATTTCAGGATTCATTCAAATCTCACTTTACAAGAGATCTCCGTCAACGAGATTGAGCCTTATCCAAAGAAAAATGGCATTGCTTTTGATGGAGATTGAACCAAGAAAGATAATTTCATTGAATTTTTACAAAATAGGCTTTACATTGGGGCATTTATTGCTAGTATTTCTTTAGAAGATTTGATGTTTTCACCTTTTATTTTCACTTAATTGAATAAATGTATTTTAATGAATGAAAATCAAACTCTCCGGTCGTTTCATCAACTTTAAATTAATTGACAAAGCCCTATTGATTTGATTGACTTGTAGATTTTTTACAAATCGAGAAAAAAGTACTTTTTGTCTTATCCAAACCCTTAAATTCCTTGAACCTTTGAACTTCGTAGCTTTAGCTAAAAAAATAAGTTATCTAATAATTTAAAGTTATCTCTACTTAGGATTCTCTACTTTGAACTTACTACGAGATTTAGGCCATTTTAAAGTCGTGGACATTTCATATAAAACAGCCTAATAGATCAGCACAAAAAGCCAAGCCCAGAGCTGTTTCAAAAACGATTTTCTCTGGCCAAGGGAGCCAGGAGTAGCTTTGCACGCCTTTCCTTTCTAGCCTTGCAAAAAATGAACCTCGATCCATTTTTTGAATTAACAAATGAACAAAGGAACACAGGAAAACGAACACGGAGAGGCGTTAGATGGATTTCACGTTTTTCTTCAAGAGTTTCTCCATGGCCATTTCAGGTAATTTGATTGAAGGATTTCGGTGGAAAAGAGGTGGATTCCGGAGAAATCCCAAAGGATTTTTGTGAAAGACTCCATTTCTTTATGCAATGACACGATGATGCACGAAAATGCTCGCAAAGTTGACGTCATTTCTACGGATTGGAGGTGAATCTAAATGGTGGACCCTAGGGAAATCCTGGCTAAGAACTTGTTTACTATGTGGACTAAATACATGATGTTGATCAGAATCTAATATTGTTGTGGAAGGTTTTTTGATGAAAATCGTTTCCGTGTTGGTTTGTAATCTGGGATTATTGTAGCTTTGCTAAAAGGCTCGCTACAATCGATTTATTTCTGAAAAATGTTCAAAGTTGACTAGTCAATCGTATCTATGCCATAGAAACTAAAAATTTCACCAAAAGGCGCTATCACCAACAAAGGCCTATCGCACAAAATGAATTGCCTATTTGAATGGTTTTGAATGTTTGTGATAAGAGGTTTTTCTTTCTCAAGACTGAAAGAATCAAAACATTCTTTAGACGAGAAAGCGAACATATAAATTTAATTTCAATTTATGAATTCGATTCATATCGATTTATTTTATTTGTTAGCACTTTTCGACTACTGTATTTACTATTTCACTTCATTCATTTTTCGTCCGTTTCAGGGAAATTATTGTCTCGAGAAGCCACTTTTATTATTACTCTCTACGGAAATTCATGCCCCTTTTTCGATCTTGGAAAACGATTCTAATTTTCGCCCTTTTAGGTGTCGTTTTAGAAACATATTTTAGAAGAAATTATAGAAGAAATTAACTTGGATCCTCATCAAGGATTGCCACTTAAGTTCATTCGATAGGTTGACTAAATCTTGTTTTAGTTGTCACTTTGATACATTACTTCACATTCCAATCAACATTGCGGACTCAGCAAGCCAAGTTTAATCGAAGGTCGAGTCTTTAAAAAAATCTGACTAAACTGTTTATTTTATTTTTAGCATCCTACAAGTTTATGCAAATCTTTTACAAAACAAAACCATTCAAACAATTTCAAACGTTGAAATTTCGACTGAAAGTGAGTTTTGGCAAATTTCTCGAAACGATCGTTTGAGGATTTTTCTCGATTCCCTTTCGTGGAATCAAAAGTGGAGCCGGGTTGGGCAATCAACTCTTTGAGATCTTTGCTCTCATTGGAATTGCGAATACAACAAATCGGTAAATTCTTACATAATTTATAGCTTTCAAGGAGGCGCGCTCAAGACCCTAACAACTCTAACCCCAAACAGCCAGGAATATTATCAGTACCTAGATTTGAATTTATTCTCCGTATTCTCTCTAATAGAATAATATTTATTCCCATGAGTCAAAAAGCCCCGCTTATTCTGGATTTTCTCTAATTTTAGTGCCCTTTCCCCCTCCCCTGGTCGAGCCGAGTTGATGACTATTTTACAGTTCCCAAGCTTTTGCAGAAGCTCAACACTCTAATCCCCCACAAGATCTCATCGTCAGCCACATTTTCCGACCCCACATCGATAGATTCTGATAAGCGGTTCTCGAGATTTCGAGTAATTTAGGCAACGCTCAGGGTGCACTACTATTTGAGAGAATACGGTATAGGATTGGCTTGAAAATTGCAGCACCCCACTTGTTCTCATCGACAATCGAACCGTTATGACGAGACTCTCGGACATCAACGAATACTTTCCAGAGTTGATCGATCGACTCAAATTTGTCATAAAGCTAGTTAGTTCCAAACTTTTATTTACACAATCTATCATTAGCCTCATCCTTACATGATTTAGCCAAATGCTAAAAGCATCAATCTGCACACAAATGGTTGTTGTCGATTCTCATCGTTGAATGAACTGATGAAGCTAGATGATCAATACGTGATTGGAAATGGAATGTATTTTCAAGTTAGTCAAATAATAACGGAAGATCTTCACAGTTATAGAGTCATCTCTACTCATCTCATCTAAGAGATTTGTTATTGAAATGGACAAAACCGACAAAGATGGCAATGGCTGAGACGAAAAAGAGTTTCCCTCCTGGGAAGATCAAAGGAAAAAGTGTAAGAGTTTGCAATCTATTTGAGTAGGGAGTAAGAATAAGTAACTGACGGAATAAACCATAAACAACACATTTCCTAGATCCTCTTTTAAAAACCCATGTCTAGACTTTGCGTCCACGCTCGACGTGGTGATTTCCTCAAAGCTCCCCAACCAATGGCTTCTCAAGCAAATTTCACTAGATATGCCACAAAGTTTATACTTGAAAAATGTAAGTTTTCGAGTTTTTTTGAGACTTATTCAGAAAATTTAACTGCAAAATAGCCATTTGACTCATTCAGACCTTCAGAATCAGAGCAGAAACCAAGCGACAGTAATTCTATTCTCAAATGATCTCACATGGATGAAAGAAACGTTTTCCGATGTATTTATCGGGTAATTTCAAATAGAAAACTGCAATTTCGATTCTAGAAATAAAATGTTGAGCGCAGAAAGTGGAGACGTCAATATTTGATGGCAACCAATGTAACCCTTTATCAACGATGATCATTTCGCGACAATATTGTGACAATTTATTAATTACTGGTAAGGGAGAAATGGGCATCAAAAACTGAATACAGGATTAAGCCAAAAAAGTGGAATATCTGGGTTTCGATGAGAAAATTCATGTTTAGCTCCGGCATCGACTTTTGGTTGGTTTATGGGTTTCATGGCTAAAGAAGGCAAAGCTCGAGTATTTTACTCGGAGGTTGGCATTTAGATTTTATCTAGGCTGAGGCCGACTAATGCGTTTTCTAAAACTTCTCAACAAAAGACCGTAAGCTTAAACTATTGCTGTTCAATGTTAGGTTGTCCAGTTATGAATGCACGCCTACTCTTGATCAGCGTACCTTAGAGCTATACAATTTTATCAAACCCAATTCTCTATATGCTGTTCAGGATTTCTTATTTATTACAACTTTTCGTTCGACGATTTCGTTTGATTTTTTGACGTCAAACTAATTAATTTTTGATCTAATTTCTGTGCTTAGATGACTGACACGAGGTTTCGTCTCCGTGTCAGCCATTGGTATGCCTTCAAATGCCGCTGAATCTCGGCAAAATGCCGCTGAATTTCGTCGATGCCTCTGCAAAGTATTTGGGAAAGATGCTATTTTGGAAAACCAGTGTTGCCAATGGTTCGAACGATTTTGAGAAGGAAATGGATCTTTGGAAGATGTGGACCACCAACGACGGCCTCCAGTGATCGATAGTGCAGCACTGAAGCAGGCGACCGAAATTGATTCTCGACAAACTACACGGGAACTTGCAGAAATATTTGGAGTAAACCCTTAAACAATTTCCGAGCATTTACATAAATTGGGAAACCGACAAGGGAAATGGGTTTTTTGAAATAATGTTTTGATGTTTTGAATATTTTGAAAGGTAAGGTAGGATAAGATTTAGAAAAATCGAGTATTACATCAGAATTTGATATCTTCGGCTGATGCCGGTCGCTCTTTCAAATAGTACATCCAGTAGATCGTTGAAGAAAGCAAAAATAGCTAAAGTTTATTTTGATTGGCTTTTTATATATTCTAGAAGAGTTGAATGGATAAAAAGCTTTACCTGGGGAATGCAAATCGAGATATTTGATCGACTGCGAGCTCTTTCCGCGAGTACTTCATCGATTATCTGCGCGGTGATCTTGGTGTTGAGTTATCCAATTTATCTTCTTTTCCAATTTATCTTCTTTTCCAATTTATCTTCTTTTATCATCGGATACGCCAAGTCTTTCACTAACAATTCATACAAAAAACTATTTAAATTGAACAGCCCAACACCAAGGAATTTGAGGCTAAAGTGAGTTGGGTTTTCAATGGCAAAGGGTTGGATTTTCAATGGCATATCAAATGTCCCCAACCGATTTATTAACTATTTTTCCTTATCTTCTCGGTAATGCCAATAGAGCTACTTGTGTCACTATAGCGGTAATGCCAATAGAGCTACTTGTGTCACTATAGCGGTAATGCCAATAGAGCTACTTGTGTCACTATAGCGGTAATGCCAATAGAGCTACTTGTGTCACTATAGCGGTAATGCCAATAGAGCTACTTGTGTCACTATAGCGGTAATGCCAATAGAGCTACTTGTGTCACTATAGCGGTAATGCCAATAGAGCTACTTGTGTCACTATAGCGGTATTGCCAATAGAGCTACTTGTGTCACTATAGCGGTAATGCCAATAGAGCTACTTGTGTCACTATAGCGGTATTGCCAATAGAGCTACTTGTGTCACTATAGCGGTAATGCCAATAGAGCTACTTACGTCACTATAGCGGTAATGCCAATAGAGCTACTTGTGTCACTATAGCTGGTATTCTTCTTCGTTTGGTAAAAAGACTGGATTTTACGATGAAATCCTTACTTGCGATGAAAAATGAATTCAATATGATAATTCTACACGAAAACGCAATGGCCTGGTGAAGAGCCAACACTAAAACCCTTTCACGGCAAGAAAGTAATGCTTTCATTCTCGTGGAATTCCCAGGGCATTGTTTATTTTGAGCTGCTTATACCTGAACATGCAATCACGTATGCTTAGACCTGAACATGTAATCACGTATGCACAACAACTGAAACGAGTGAACAATGTATTGCTACAAAAAGGTCTTGATCCTTCGAACACAAAGTTCATACAAGATAACGCCCGTCCACATGTTGCAAAGATTGTTCAGGAAAACTCGAAGACTTGGGCTGGGAACCACTCCCGCATCCGTCATATTCACCGGATATTTCTCTTTGGATAACCATTTATTTCCCTCAATGCAAAACCATTTGGCTGGAAACAATTTCAAAGAAGTTCAAGAGGTCGAAAAATGGATAGCCGACTTCTTTGCCTCAAAACAAGCGAATTTTTACGTCGAGGGAATTCATTCTTTGTATGGAAGATGGAAACAAATATTGTTAACAAATGATGAACAAATGATGAACATATTGTTGATTGAGCTATTAAAATGTTGCTTTTAAACTAAAGAGCTGTTATCTTAAAAACGCGCATTTATAACTGGACAACCTAATAGTTTGTTTTATGAGGGTTCATGGGATATATCAACAGATATGGGATATATCGACAGATATCTAAATACCAAAGCACTATTGCCCTAATAGTATTGGGTCTAATAGTAGGGTTTCTACCAGAGTTTTTCTACCCGCAATGATTAGAGGAAATGTTGAAGTAAACAAGCCCCTTTCGGCTGGTTCTATGCTGTTTTTTCTTTATCTGCGAGAAATAGCCTGCAGTTTTCAATTCACCAACCCAATAGTATTGGGTCTAATAGTAGGGTTTCTACCAAAATATTTGCCCTAATTTTGCCCTAATAGTATTGGGTCATACTATTTTTTTTAATCCCTCCAAGCCCGCAATACTATTAGAGAGTGGAATGCTATTGGGAAAATACGTAGATTGCATAACTCAGATAAGATTACGGTAATTTTTGAAAGCTAACAAGTTTTTGAAAACGCGCCAGTACTGTACTGCTTCACTGTAGCCAGTAAAGCATTATTCACATGTCATCAAAAATTTAGCCCTACGCTAAATCGAGCGGCGATCTAGTGCAAGAATTTCGACCAAGTGAATTCCAGTTACTGCATTGGATACCCTTAAGGTTTGAGGACAGATATGGCTTGATCTATGATATATGAATTTCAGGATTCATTCAAATCTCACTTACAAGAGATCTCCGTCAACGAGATTGAGCCTTATCCAAAGAAAAATGGCATTGCTTTTGATGGAGATTGAACCAAGAAAGATAATTTCATTGAATTTTACAAAATAGACTTTACATTGGGCATTTATTGCTAGTATTTGCTTTAGAAGATTTGATATTTTCACCTTTTATTTTCACTTAATTGAATAAATGTATTTTAATGAATGCAAATCAAACTCTCAGCCGCTTTTCATCAGCTTTAAATTAATTGACAAAGCCCTATTGATTTGATTGACTTGTAGATTTTACAAATCGAGAAAAAGCACTTTTTTGGCTCTTCCAAACCCTTAAATTCCTTAAACCTTTGAAATTCGTAGCTTGAATTTAGCTAAAAATAAGTTATCTAATAATTCAGAGTTATCTCTACTCGTTCTCTATTCGAGATTCTTTACTCAAATGATAAAAGAGAGCATTATACAAAACGGCCAGAAGCTTTGATGGGCAATAAGTGAAAAGACAAGCGTATAATAAGTATAATAAATGAGAAATTTAACATTTGAACCCAAGTTCCAGTCTTTGTGTGCATGCTGGTCGTGGAGGTTTTGTCAATGCGGCATAAAAATGCATAAAAGCATGACTTTCGAAAACCTCGATGAATGAGATTCAAACGTCCAATCCGGTACTTGTTCCTCTAACTCCAACTCCAACTCCAGCTCCAGCTTCAACTTTAGCTCCAACTCCAACCTCAGCTCTAGCTCCAACCCCAGCTCCAACTCGACCATCAGCCTCAACTCCAATTCCACTTCCAAGCCCAATTCCAACTCCAGCTCCATCTTCAACTTCAACACCAGCACCAACCCACTCCGACTCCAACCCAACTGCAAGTCCAACTCTAACTCCAGCTCCAGCTCCAGCTTCAACTCCAACTCCAACTCCAACTGCAAGTCCAACTCCAACTCTTGTACCACCTCCACCACTAACTCCTCCTCTAACTTCTCCTCCAACTCCTCCTCCACCTCCCCTTTCATCTCTGCCTCTCCTCCTCTCAAGCACAAATTTGATCAAGCAAAAGTAACAAAAAAAAGCTCAAGGAAGAAATGATTAGCTTTAAGAGTTCAGTCTTGATCAAACTCACAAATCTCATGCGTGCAAGTATTCAACCAAATAGATTTGTTCCTTGTTCCTCACATTCACAATCACAAGAGAACTTTAGAGTTTGTACTTGTAAAAAGTCTGTACACAAATGTGACAATTCACAGTTTGACTATCACCCTTATGAATGGGGTTTTTGGAGTCGGGATTTTGATTCAAGCCTAAGTTCAGCTTTAGAATTTAAACCCAGACTTATTTTACTTATTCGTAGTTGCATCCAGCGGCTCTTCATCTATTGAGGGTTTGTATTATTCAGTGGCAATGAACTAACACAATTCTACAACAAATCCCAAGTCCAACAGTTCAACAGATACTACTGCGCCACACTAAAGTCTCTTGTTCCTTATCCTGGTTCCCATGGATGAGTCAATCTTCTCCGCAATCTCTTTCCATTACCTTCTCAATCTTTTCCCTTTTTCTCTTTCTCTTCCCAGCTTCCCATTTTTCCTCCACGTGCGGCCCTCCCCCTTCCTTTTCCCGACTAGAAGAGGGCCTATCGAGCGGTTTTCTCCCTCACAAGCTGTCCTGAACCCTCTTTCCCCCAAAAAAGCATTTCCTTTCTAAACCCATTTCCTAAAGAACATTAGAAGAATGAAAGTGCTTTTGATATGCATTAATTCTATTTATTCTATTTGTTTTCGATTTAGTCCTATTTGTTTTTACTTATTCTATTATAATTCTACTTCTTCTTTTTGTTTTCGAAAATTTTGATATTGTACTTCCCCTTCATAACGTCTCTTTCAACAGTTTCTTCTAACAACTTTCTTTCAAAAGTTTCTTTTCAGCTTCTCTTTGATTTTCTTTCTATCTTTTGTTTCATTGAACTTTTTTGTTCTCATCCTAACCAATTTTACATTTGTTTTTTCCCATTTTTCTCTATTTTTTTACTCCCCGTCTTTCCCCTAGCTATCAAACGTTGCCAATGTTTAGATTGAGAAGAGAGCTTTTAGGAAAAGCTCTAGTGAATTTTTAGTTAGAATGAGGAAGAATCAAGAGTTTTGTTGGATTTTTCTAGATTTTTATTGAATTTTTTCAAATCTTCAACAGTTAGATTTAATGATTGCTAATGACTTACACACATTTTTTATCACTATGGATGGAAGTAACCTTGCTTGTTTTGATTCATATAGTAAGATTTTTCGAATATTTACCAAAAATATCCAACTATTAGGGGTTTACAAAAGAAACTGCGTATTATACGCAACGTTCAAACACTTCTGAAAATTAATAATAAAAGATTTTATTCCAAAAGGTAATTCGCCAAATTATCAAACTATATTTTTCCATTTTTTGTGTAGACTTGAGATGTCTGATTCGAAAATTGGGGTGTCCTGATGCAAAAGTAGTCTCGTAACCCAAATTCGACTCTTCAGGATTGTTAGACTTTAGCTTTGCAAGAGAGTGCTGCATAGACAGAAACGAGTGGTAATCTGACGGGAGCTACATTGCAAGCGAATAGAGCGGATGAGGCACAAGTTTCCAGCCTAATTCTTCTATGGTGTTTTGAGCCAAGTTTGATGTGTACTCCGGAAATTGTGGAGCGAGTAAATGGATTGTCCTGGATTAACACCTCTTTCTCAGAATTTCATCAGCTTTCTTCAGCTGTTCATGCAGCTTCTGAGTAGCTATAGTTTTTGAAGATTTTTGAGTTTAGTACAATGATCTTTCCCTCCACATCTAAGACTGAGTATATGGGCCTTTTGCAAAGTTCTCCATGGCTAACGGTCTCGAATGGCCCTGGCTCAACTTCAGCAAGTTTAATGATAAAGCTAGAACTATCTTTCCGATTGCGGGTGCTGAAACAAAAATGCGTATTTTTTCTGCAGCTCTCTTTCGCCAGTGTCCTAGATAACCAAACTTTGATTACTTTGTTTCAGGCGATAATCAAAGTGGGACCCATTGGCTACAATGATTCCCTTTTCCAATAAGCAAAAGGAAAAGCCGGGGAATTGTGCTTCCGTGACGTACTTTAAAGCTATCAACACTCCGGACAAGTTTTTGAGCTGGATCCGACTCGACACCTCGAGCAACCTTTACTATCGAGGACATGAAATGTCCATGGGCTTGCCTTCCAAGCCTCACATCTCTTTTACGAAATCCAAGGAACTATTCCTATACAACTTCTTTCACTCAAAAATGTTTTCCAAATGCCTGGTTGGAGTGATTCCAGCAGCAATCAATGCTGATTTCTTCATTTTAAAGTCATAGAAAGGTAAGCCTGGGAAATGAATTTTTGATTCTGCCAGTCTTTGAGCAACTAAAAAATTATTTATAATTCACTTGGCTAAAAAATGAAAAAAAAAACAAAATAAAATAAGCTGCTGGTCAAATAATAATGAGAACAAAATTAAATCAAAGTTGTATACCCTCAAATAGAGAAAATATTGTTCCGGAAAGTCATGCGCAAAAGCCTCTTTGGTAAACCCCCTAATATATATGAAATTTGATTTGATTTCTTCTCTCCTCCTCTTCAAGAAAAATTTGATTCAAGCAAAAGTAAATAACAAAAAGGCTCAAGGAAGAAATGATTAGCTTTAAGAGTTCAGTCTTGAGACACTAGCACTAACTCCACCTTGGACTCCAGCTCCAGCCTTAACCCAACTCCAAATCTCCCCCAACTGCAAGTCCAACTCCAACTCTTGTACCACCTCCACCACCAACTCCTCCCTCTAACTTCTCCCTCCAACTCCTCCTCCACCTCCCCTCATCTCTGCCTCTTCCTCCTCTGCCACAAACTGGATCTGCCAAAAAAAAAAAAAAAAAATGCACAAAAAAAAGGCTCAAGGAAGAAATGATTAGCTTTAAGAGTCTGGGGTCTGATTAAACTCACAAATCTCATGCGTGCAAAGTATTCAACTAAATAGATTTGTTCCTTGTTCCTGACATTCTACCATCACAAGAGAGATTTAGAGTTTCAGCAGACAGTCTGTCTTTTTTATCACTATGGATAAAGTAGCCTTGCTTGTTTTGATTCATATAATAAGATTTTTCAAATGTT